TGCGCATAACCCGCAAGGTTATTTTTACTTCTACTTATAACCTTAATTACACAACACTAGAGCTCGTCAACGTTTTATAAGGATCCAGGAGCGCACCTAAATTCCGATATTTCCAGGAATTGACATATTAATTATTTGACCAATAACGCTAACTGCATGCTTGGTTATCTTAACAGTAATTTTTCTTTGGCCCCTTCATCGTTAAAACTATTTATAAACATTAGTGCGGTAAAAGCTTGAGTTTGTCGTCTCCATTTGGGGTCCCGGCAGCGCCTACCTTATTCACTTGCTTGAGTTCATACAGAAGAGATCTGCGCATTTCATTCTGACTTTTACAATATTCCAAGATTTTCAGACATTGCGTCCTTAATCCATTTGACAGCGACAACGGTAATAACCCACATGAAATATTTCTTTGTGAGACACGGTCCTACGGAAGTAGGCTTCAGCGATGATGGTTCAAAGTTTCTCAACTTAGAAGTCTCGGAATTTCAGAAGTTCGTTGAAGGTTGGGGCTTCCAACACAAGACATCTAGTCCACGATACCCTCAAAGTAAGGGCTTTGTGGAAGCTGCTGCAGGAATCATAAAACAAAGTCTCAAGAAGACCGGCGAAAGCTACGTAGCATTACAAACCTACCACTCCACACCCTTGAATAACGGCTACAGCCCATCGGTATTACTTATGGAAGGAAGATTACGTACTTCGCTACCGGCAGCTGATTCCGCGCTTCAACCAAAACAAGTCGACAAAGATCAGATAAATCTCTGGGAAGAATGCAGTAGAAAGCAACAAAAATGTAACTACGACTAGCGACATGGTGCCCGCCACCTCCAATCTTTGAAGACGGGGGACAGAAGATGGATAACCGATCGGCGTGAAACTGAAATAGTACGATCCCCGGCGGATACTCCAAGATCCTACTCTGTCGACACAAAGTGGAACCTACGTGAGAATCGATTGCACCTGGAGCCGGTATCAGTAGTACACAACACGCCTGACCTCTTACCTCAAACTGCGACGGCAGTAAGAACACCAGAGCCGCCCTGTTAAAAGCCAGACTGCAACTGTGTGATGACCCGAAGTGGAAGAATGATCAAACCCCTAATCCGTCGTTTCAGCCCATAATGAAAAGGGGGATGATGTGCTATGAGCTGGGTCGTCATTAGAGGAGCGCGAGCTAGACGGCGACGTAGACGACGGCGTAGACGACGACGAATCTCGAGAAATTCCAATAAACCGAAGGACACCCGATGGAGACTCGTATATGATCGTGGACGCCTGACATCACAGCATAGGTTAGAGGATATTCTAATATCATCTCGAGATTTGAATGTGAGTGTGTTTTTAATGTAAAGTGCAACTTTCCCGTGCGATGTATATAAGAACGTTCCATCTTGTTGGCGTTTGACCGACTGATATCCAGATATATTTAAGTTGGCATTTGTGTTGTTTATAGCGCCATGTTTCAACAAGCGCTATAAAGTGGAAATCATGTTTTAGGGTATATAATAAAAAAGATCGTCAAGATGATTGCTCAAGCTTTAGATGAAGCACCGACAACTCAAAAGACGAGGGTGTGTCTGAAAAATAGGTTTGGTTCAACCAAATATACCCTCATAAAGAAATTAAAAAAATATCTAATGACACAGAAATAATTAGGAACTAGACAGAAACACTCAAGTCATCATGGGAAACGATATTGTGGATGGTTGTTTCTATTGGTTTTCCTAGCTTTAATTATACATTGGTCGGTGCACAAGTACTATTGTGGACACTGTTAGCTATAACACCGCAGCGGCGGCCGTCCCGTACCCCCAGCGCCTCATAGCAGGCGCCGTCCAAACTCCGCGCATGCGCCGTGTGGCGGACTCGCTCTTCCCGTTTGCGAGCACACCCTCGCTTTGTCGTCTGCTAGGCGCAGGGCAGGCGATGCCACAGTGCTGCTCGTCTGGTACCCTGGCCCTAGCGAACTGGTCTCAAACTCATTTTAAACCGGCGATTTTGATTGGGGAGATTGCAGAGTCATTAAGGCATTAACCCTGTCTACGTTTTTTTTTTTTTTTTGCTTTTTCTGAAACAGGATTCCGCAATGCATCTTTCACAATATGCGCTCGCAAACCAGTATGAGCGCAGCAGGTGTGATACAGAAATAGACTTATACTCCGTTTCAGCTAAAGTCCGAATGCAGCGTACGCTACAAAACGACATAGCCAATCAAATAGCGGCAAAGAAGGTGCAATGTCACGGAGTGCATCACCGGGGGACACAATAGGGTGCAAAAAGTGAGCTTTTGTCGCTTTTGTTTGGCCCTATCGTGTCGTAGCATCCGCTGCGCTTAGACCTAAAGTGAAACGGAGTATAACTGCAAGTTTGTCCCATAAAAAAAGAAAAAAAGTAGTCTACCGTGATATTACAATTAGTGGCGATGATTATCCTTAGCCAGCGGAGTCAGGGAATCAACCGTGGACACCACTTACGCGGTGGTTTGCTGAACCGTGTTCAGGGAAAATTGGCAAGCGCTGTGGCGTCGTCTGCTCCGTGCCTAGCAGACGACAAAGCGAGGGTGTGCTCGCAGGCGGGAAGAGCGAGTCCGCCACACGGCGCATGCGCGGGGTTTCGGACGGCGCCTGCTATGAGGCGCTGGGGGTACGGGATGGCCGCCGCTGCCGTGTTATAGCTAACAGTGTCCACGATAGTACATCCACTCTTTTTTCTTTTTCAGGCGTAGCGCCTCAGAGAGCAGCTTTTCGTTAAAAAAAAAAAAAAAAAAGTTGACGAGGTAGTTTATGTAGTGCAGGTTAAAATCGTCGGTTTTTAGCCGCGCTCAATCTGCTTTCCTTTGAAAGTGATTATTGACATTCCTGGAGAGGAAATTCGCTATTATGTTGTAAGCGTTTGGTTGACTTGAGGTGGGAACCTGATGGAGGGTGTAAATGTCTGTTTAAGCAATGGGACAGTTAATGCGTTTTTCAATAGAATCACTCCGAGATTTTCGCTCGGGTCGTTGGGAACACTGCGGATTCTCACGTTGTTTAGACGGGAGTACTGTTCGAGCTGAACGACCTGTTTTTGAAGGATTGTGTTGTTCGTTTCTAACAGTTGAGTGTTGTCCTTGGTCAGACTTGCGCAAGAGTGGTTTGTCGCGAACAAAAAAAAAAAAAAAAGAAAAAGAAAAAGAAGAGATGAATAGGTTTTAACCACTGTTCGGCTCCTCCGCTGTGTGGCACCCTAGCTATCGCTCCTTCGCCGCTCTGTTGTTCGTCTTTTATTTGAACATGTATGTGCCTTCTTTTGCCAGTCACTTAACTTAGCCAGTCGGGAGAGCCAGCACTATCGTACTCCAACACTCATGTAGTCTGAATGGCAAAAAACGAAAAATGTTCAGCAAATCTAGTGCCACGCTTTGCTGTACGTACATTTAACAATTGTGATGACAGATGTCACATCGCCTCACTACGTTGCATTCACTCTCTATAATGCGCAACAGACGGCGGTATGCCACGATTGGGACTTGTTACCGCCCCATTGAAGAGATTTCGACGCACTCGGTAAAACTAAAGTCACTTTAGGTGGAACGGCCATAGTGCTTTTGGGAGACCTTTCAAAGAATCATCTTCGAAAAGCAACAAGGAACTAAGCTCGGTCATTTACAGATAAACGAAAATCCTCTAATACGAACCTTCACGTTACTAACACGACCTCTCGAAAAAGTACCGAGCTATAAGCACCTAGGCGTAACATTTTCTGATGACCTATTTTGATATACTCACTACACCACTATAGTGGCTAGCGCTTGTAAATCTTTCGGATTTATTAAACGCAACCTATGCCTGTGTGAAACTAACTGCATATAAAACTTTCGTTAGATCCAAATTAGACTGCGGTAACTTTATTTGGGGGCCCAGGTTAAGCATATCTCATTGACAAACCCGAATCAGTTCAAAATAAAGCACCTCGTTTCATATCGAACGACCACTCCTGGACGTCAAGCATAACTGTACTAAAATCAAACGAAAAAAAAAAAACTAAACTTGCTCGTCTCGTAAAGTTTTAAAAAATTTACAATTCCTCTTTCTTTGTTCCTGACAATTACACTCGTCCGCTATCTCAGATCAACTTGCATGGTGTCCACAACTTGAAAGTAAATTTTCTAGTCGCGAAAACTAATACATTTTAAGATTCCATTTTCACTAGCTATCATTGACTGGAATTTTCTTCCTGAAATAATCGTAATCGAAACAAATCAAGCTAGATTCGGTGATCTTTGAAAAGCACACCTCACAAGCGTTTTTCATTAGTCATAATATGTATTTAATATCACTTTTTTTACTTTTTTACATGACCTGTAAATATGTCTCTTGTTCATCATTACTAGATCTGTTATTCGGAAACCTTCACTGTTAATTTTTGCACTAGATCCTCCCCATTCCTCTTTCGTGTAATGAATTTCAAAGAAGTGCCTCCCTAGTGAAACATCTTATAAGAACCTTTTTGGTCCAATGATCAAATAAATTCATATAAGAGCATCAAAGAACCTCATAAGAAACATATAGAAACAATATAAGATCATACAAAGTTATAAAAAACTCTTTATCAGTTCTTTTGTAACTTCTTATATAGTCTTGTATGGTTCTTAAATGTTCTTATATGATCATATTTGATCATATACGTTTATCGGACCAAGATATTTCTTATAAAATAATATTTTCCACTTGGGCTTTGAGGATTATTACACTAAGCTAGAAGGAAAGAATACACCCCCCCCCCCCTTTCCAAACCCAAAGGCAATTCACGTTTCTAAAGCCCAAGGAAGTTAATAATCCGGATTGATCAAAACATGCTTTGATACACCCATATTAACCATTTCGGCTTCATCCCGTTCTCCAAATCACGCAATGACTTGCCGATAGAAGGGACGTACGTCTTTTCCCCCTGGCATCACCTATACAATAAAACAAAAATAAATGTATCATATCAAATTGGGCTTGGTTTCTCACCTTTGTTATGAGGAACCAGGCAAACTGCCAATTATTCCACTTATTGACGTGAGCCTGGAAAGAAATCAAGACGCAATAAGCGATTGTAATGAAACAAGGAAACTGCCATCCTATCATGTTCGAGTAAATCAGAAACTAATGGCACCCATGTTGCAAATGTTAGATGCTGTCACGGCCCGGAAAGTATGGTAAAACGTTCATCCACTGCAAGAGTAATGAACGACGTATGCTTTTTACAGCGAAGCCTGTTAGGTGCTAGGATCTGAAAAAAAAAAAATGCGTCCATGGATGTTCACAAAAAGCTCCCGTTTACACGGCGCTCCTTCGCTCCGACTGGTCGTGGCATGTATGAATAAAAAGGGGGGGCAACCCGCGGGAGTCAGCCTTCCTTGGCGTTATTAGATAGTGAGGCCCAAATCCCCTGTTATCATCTACGGTCACCGACTTAGCTAAGAGTGCGCTGTGACGAGGCTGAGGGCAGAACGCGCCGATCTAACCTTCTTTTCTTTCGCTTCCGCGATGCTGATAAAGAGACTTGGGCTCAATCGGAAAAAAACTGTCCTTGAGGTGTGCCTCGAAAAATTGGGTTTAAAAATTGACCATAAGTGACCATAAAACAGTGATGACTTTTGTCACTAAAAACTAAATAAAAACAAATAAACAACGAAGACGTGTACGCGTCTTCATTGCAATCATATGTAAATCGTTAGATGTCGTATAGTTGTCGTAATGTTGTCGTAAAGATAACAGTTTCGCTGGTCCTCCATCTTCACGTGAAGTGGTTGGGCCCTAGAATGTTTTATTTATTCTCTGTTCGTTTTGATGGAACAGTGAGCTTAACACCTGTTTGATTGTAATCATTTTGGTGTCCCGTCACCATGAAAAAATTTGATTATGGAACACTGTCGTCAAAGCTTCTAGTGTGAGTGTGTGGCTTGATCTTAAGGAATATTGGCACACACGTGCCCTCGCGCAAATTAGACTCTAGGTGACACTCGCTCTAGTTAGAAGCTTTTACGGCGTCGTACACCAAATACGAAACGGAGAAAAGGCCTCTGCCATTCATTTGCCATGTGGTCAAGCACTCACGATTGCAAGCCTTGCAAAGTTAATTTCGCGTGCTTGAACACATGGGGCACCAGCCAGGAGTGTATAATTGTATAAATGCTACATCTACCTTGTTATGACTCATGAGAAGTGCTAACGAAGAACCCGGGAACAAGAGCATAACTCTGCAGAATGTTTTGTTGACACAATAGTACTCGCGCAAGAAAGGCGATTTTGACAGCCACGCGTTGGCGCCGGTGATGACTTGCTTTCTTGTGCAACGTTGTCAAGGCTAGCGCAGTTTTTTCAATGCTAGGGGGAGATCGGTAGCCAAGTGTGTTAGCCTGAAACACAAGTGAGCGAAAATCGCGTCGCATCGCGTCCCATGGCAACCGTCGCACAGGACGTCACGCCATTGGGCCTCGTCCTAGCGTCGGAGATACGCGACGCGATTCTTGCTTACATGTGTTTCACGCTTCAACGCGCCACAGCTTGGAGCGTTTGGAGCGAAAGCACGCGTTGCGAAACCCAGGAATCCTGGGTTTAATTCTCACCCCTGCCTATTCGATCTGAATGGGCATCGCACTGGCGTGCGGTCGTGTATCACTACTGCGGGATGCACGTTAAGGACACCAGGCTAGCAGTCGTACCGCGCTGGCAAAATTCCTCATCTACTGTGGGTAACGATGTTGTCCCACTGTGGCAGACTAAGCTCCTGCTGGATAAACAGGTAACGTCTAATTTTTGTTTGTTTTTAAAGTAAAACGTTTTAGGCTAGGTGTTCATGTTAAGGGAAACCACAAAAAGCGTAACCGCGAGTTAGTAGAGTTAGCTCCACTAACTCTAACACAATCAACTAACTCTAACTCTAACAAACCTCACCCTAGCGAACTCTCTGTAACTCTAACTCTAACTAACCCTTAATCTAACTAAGTCCAACTCTTACTAACTAACTCTAACTCTAACTATTTTTAACACCAACTCACCACTAACTCCACTAAATACTTGGTTTAGCGCTAGTGGTTTAGCACGGCTAGCGGTAAACGAAGAACGTTTGACGTAGCAACACAATTGCAGGGCAATTTGCGATACATTTTTCTGCAGCCCAGTAAAGGCAATACGATCTATACTTTGTAGCGTACGTGCTGTACAACGCTGTCAAAGCTACTTGCGGGAACGTGTGTCTGCGTTAAGCATGTTGTATTGCGAAACAAACGCAATACAAAGTCACGTGCTGGCGCACTAGAGGGGGGCTGCAGCACCCTAGAAATTACGCTAGCCTTCGCGTAAGTGCAGTAGTTCTCGAAGCTACAAGAGCGAACTTCGAGCTTTCGGCATCCCTGCCAAAAACGTGCACTCAAACAGTGCAATCATCGTTCAGGGTAACATGCTCGTACTTAAAACTTCAATTTGTTCATGCATAAAAAAAAACAACTAGAAAAAAAAAAAAAACTCTATACGCCTTGCACTGACGACACATGAGCGCATACCTTTTGGATAATGTCATATAAAGGTATTAACGACTGCCAGTATGATGAAATGATGCCACGTGAAAACCATGCATTGTATAATCGAAATTTTAGATGCCTGTACGACAGGAGTAATGACGCCTAGAATAGCGTGCCAGTAGGCCGGCTCCATAGCCGAGAATTGTGATAGTTGTCACCTGGCGTATGCCCGGTAGCGTGGACAGCGAGAGGGGTTGTATCATAATGTTCTCAACCGAACCAATACGAGCACTATAGTTGGGGACCCTGGCTTCTATGCCCCATCTCGCAAGTTACTCGATCCAAAAGCACATCAGCGAGAGAAGCTGTTGAGTAAGAAAAGGAATTTCTATATCACAAGCCACCGCGTTCAGACACTTGAACCGAGGGGGCAATGTGGGTGAGTTGGTTTATTGTAAAAAGGACAAAAGAGCGCGCAAGAAACGAAAACAGAAAACCAGGAGGACCTGTATATTTCCTTTTTGTTTTTTGTGCGCTGTTTTGCATTTTTTTTGTTGTGCACAATTGCTTTTCACAAGGTTACAGAGAAGTCTTGCTGCTATCCACATGAAAACGTGAGTGCACACAAAAACGAGGATGGCTCCATTCCTACTGTCCTTCATGTCTGGAGCAGACATATCAGTCTTTCTAGCCGTATCGAACGAGCATCTCAAACGGTTTTGAATCACCAATGATCCGAGAACTAGCGTATACCACGTGCACCATTCAGATCAAGTATGCACCTATTCTCTAAGATGTATTTGATATAATGACATTTGAAATACCCTGGGACACGTGCAATAACTACATAGCTAAAACTAGGTTCTGCACTTTAAAACGTTTAAAGTTTACCAATCGTAATTCATTTGGGAATTTTAAGTCTTTCAAAACCAACGAAACCATGCCAGGTGAATGGACATCTGGGTATTTATATCATTCCTCCTATGTAAAACTGTTCAAAAGACTAGATCGTCAATCCTATGGCGCCTTGAATTCGGTCGCTACTCACACAATGAGCTATTAATAGAGGCTAAACGACCGAATGCCTGGTTTCAAGTTCCAGCGTTTAAGAGCAAGCTCAGCACTAAACACATTGCGATAGCTGAGAAAAGTACTCGGCGTCACAATGCACCTTATCCGCACATCATCAGCACGGTCATAATAATCTTTTTAGCCAGCGTATTTACGTGAGTATATGACAACCTTCGGGCCTAGGGGCATTTGGTCAGCTAGTCACTACCTCCTTTACGTCAAGGATCGCGGTCGTAGCTCTTGGACTCAAGGACGCGACCCGCGCTGCTGTGGAATGAGAAATGACGTCTCAGTTGGGTAGAGGTCTCTGAGAAAAGCGCCGGCTCTCAGACTGTGTCGTCCCGCAAGGTTTCTTTTAATTATTTTTTTTGTTCGAGGTATAGGCCTACGCGCTTTTCTGGGCTTTGCCATTCGCTACTCTTTTTACCGGTTGCAATTATCGGCTCTCCGCGTGCCGTGCGGGAAGGTAATGGCGGAGTCTTTTCCCCTAGAGAGGCTCACTCCAACACGGGCAAATTTCGGTCGGTCCGATTTGGTCATTTTATATCTCTTCTGGAATGGAATTAAACGTACGAGTCTGAGGGCGTTGCTGAGGGTGGCACCTGAGCCGACGACAAAGAAGTTGGCTACGTCGGTCGAGTGGACAAGTTTCGCCTTCTTTTCGAAGTCCTCGAAGGAGTCGCCAACTTCTCTCATGATGTGCCGAGTTGGGACGTTCTCCAGTAGCCTGGCGTACTTGTGATCGATGACTGTGGCATTTCAAAAGACCACAGGTTACGCCAATGGTCGCTCTAGAGCCAATAAATAAGCAACGCTTCGGACTAACGAAAATTTCAGTCATCTTGGTGCTTCAAATTATTCATGACAGTTATAGAAAGCTTTATCTGAAATAGCATAAACGCTTTTTTGTCTTCCTTCCAGAATCGCTCAACCAGTCCGTGACAGAGCAGGCCACAATTGCCCGAGCTTCCCGACGTCATGGCCAAAGCTGAGGAAGTTTTGATTCGTAACTGTTGCTCATTTTTAGCACTAAGCACCAAAATGGCGGCACCCAAATGATAATGAAGGAATGGAGTGCCGATGCTCTGAGCATTGCTTATACAATGACTCTAGGTGATTTTAGCGAACTGCCGGGCAGCAGACACATTGCGATTATTGTGCAGAGTGACGCGCGGATTTTTGACCAAGGGTCCTTTGGCACTAGGTAAGAGCTAGACGCCGCAAAATGCATTCTTTTTCCGATTCTTTACGCAAATGTATTCCAGAGTTCACCTTTCGCAGTCGAGTCCTTTCTTAAGCCAGGGGTCTTACTGCCCATACGTCATACAAAAGAGAGTCTGCAAACACGAGTTACCCTAATATCCGTGGTTGGAATGCCGGGTGCCAAGTTTTCTCCTTGAACACGTTGCCATGCGGCATTAAAAGCACACATCTCGTGGTGACCCGCCTTTAGAAGTTGTCTGCACACTGTATTTTGTATGATGTATAAGCAGAGTGACCCCGACTTTAATATTGGACACTTTCGAGAAAGTAAAGGTGATGCAGTAATGGTAATGCGCACCATACGCGTGTGAGAAAATCTAAATCCACAAGCTGAATTGAATGCACTTGGCTTTATTATTTATGATTATATTTATTTTAATTTAACACGGGCGATTGGCCCAAACGGTAGTAAGCGAAGACAATACACACAAGTATAAACAAATACTTTTCACAAAAAAAAAAAAGAGGACTGGAGTGCCCGCATGAACTTGCACTCGCATGCTCGAATATACCCTTGCACAACAGATTCCACTGTCAAAAATGACCAAAACCATACTTGCAGAAACATCGAAAAAGCTCATAATATACACGATTCCTTATATACAAAAGTTCCTAAATATGAGAATAATAACTATCGACTGCAAAACAAAGATTTTCGGCATCATAATATCCAAGCATGCTACAGGAAGAGTTCGCAATACAGAATAGACCGATCTTACTATCCAGTTTTGTTACACCAACAATAAATCGATTGAGCTTTATTTATGCGCGTGCAACGAGCTCGCTGCGGGTCGCCGCAATCGGAGGACGGGATGGTACGAGATGTCTCGTTTTATGGTGGTGTCACGCATGCGCCGGACGCTTCGTGAGATCGGTCTATTTCAGTCAAGGGGTGTGCGGCGCTTACTGACAGTCTTGTCGTACAGGATACCGGCCGTTCCTAGCTCCATGTCCTTGCAGAGGGAGCGGATGATCTGCGTGTACGCGTCCCCCGGTGGCGTCACGTGAACGAGCAGCTGCTGCTCGAGTGGCGACAGCTTGTTCCAGCCACTGAGGGCGTAGTCGTTATGCCAGCCGTAGGTCAGGCTCAACGTGGGCAAGAGCATCCTGCGCGCCGTTTCGCGCACGGCCGTTGACAGCTTGTCGATGCTGCTGCCAGGAGTCCGCACCGCGTCGATCATCAGGTGCGGTGGCGTGCCAGAAGCAAAGATCTTGGAACACACTGTGCACACAGAAGGCCATCGCCGAAATTCGCTGCAAAGAGACTCACTCAAGGCCTCTATACTCGGGGACAACTCTCGGTCGCATTTCAGAATTGCAGATTTGAACTGCGCTGAATGTGTGCGAGCTCACGTGCACCAATAGGTTTGTCTTCATAGCCACGGAAAGTTGTCCCCAAGCATAAAACTCTCAGTTGGCAAACTTGTAGAGTTGTTTCTTTGCAGAAACTGACCGCATGTCCAAACCTCAACCATTTGCGGATTAACGCACTGCACGCAGCGGCTTTTTTTTGAATATAAAGAGGCGTCACTAAGTTACACCATGCACTGTCATTGCAAGCCCAAGTTGCACAAAGTTGGCTATAAAGGGGGGGGGGGGGCGACGTGGGTCCCACTTGGGCAACCCACGTGGGTCCCACGTCGGTTTCCCAAGTCGGGACCAAGGGGGGCCCACTTAGGCACCACCTTTGCTGACCTTGATGGACCCACAGTGGGCCTACTTGGGCAGCCCACATGGGCCTTCCTCATGGGGCCCAGAGGGAGCCTAGGCAGGCAGCCCAGATGAGCCTCCCTCCTTGGTCCTACAGAGGACCTAGGTGGGACCCACAGTGGCACCATGTGGGCGGCCCACGGGAACTTCATCACGTTTGGGGTCATTTTATAATTTCCTAAATGATTGGAGATATTTAATAATTTCCTAATTTCCCAGACAATGCGGGATTTATTATCCTTCCCCTACCATGTCGGGTATTGCAGTTCCTCCCAGATGGGCATGCCTCCATTTCCCCATGTGCCCGCTAGAAAAAAAATATCACAATTTTCCTACTTACATTAATGTGCATGGTTTGATAAATCAATAAAACGTCTTGAGCAAGACCATCGAAAATGAAAATTCCGAGTGTACTAAATGGCAAAACAAAAGCTGTGCAGATTTCCATATAATGCCTGTTGGACAGATAATCGGGTTATGTAGCCAGCTTGAGCCTGTTAGACAGCGATTTTTAGAGTATAGCAAAATTTATTGACACTGTACTGGGAGACATTGAACAGACAGGGTAACTGAGGAACAATTAAAAGGAAGAAAGAAACATGGCCACTACAAACAGGAAGGGACGAAAAAAAACTAACATAACTCAGCAAACCATACAAGGTCGCACCTTACATCTTGTCAGCAAACGAAAAAAGGGCTTTCTCCTTTACCTAACAAAAGGCACAATTCTAGTTGGGCATAACGCCCAGCTACGCCCTTTGGAGCCTATATCTATGCTAACGTGGCCCCAAACGCCGACATGGGACCCACGACGGTATTGCGTGGACAGCCCAAGTTAGGCATGCCCATGCGTTGCCCCCTTGTAGCCCTTCTCTGCGCTAACTCTGCCCCCGCATAACCCACGGGAGCATTGCACGACAGCCCAAAATGGGCATGTCCAAGCTTTACCCCCGTGTAGCTCACCTATTTGCAAACTCTGCCCCCACATTGCCAAGGTCGGGCCGGGGGAATTGCACGGGTAGCACAAGTTGGGCATGCCCCCGCAGAGTTCACCTCTGTGCTTATTCTTCCCCCGCATAGCCGAGTTGGAACACACGGGAGCATTGCAGGGGCACCCTAAATTGGGCGTACTCACGTGTTTCCTCTGAGAAGGCCACCTCTCTGTTAACTCTGAATCCGCATAACCGAGGTGTAACCCACGGAAGCATAAAACCAGCAGCCCAAGTTGGGCATGCCCACGCGTAGCCGAAGTGGGACCCAAGGGGATACTGCGTCGGAAGCCGAAATGGGCCTGCCCTCTCTTTGCCCACATCTGCGCGAACTTTGCCCTTGCGTATCGGAAGGGGGACCCACGGGGGTATTGCATGGGAAGCCTAAATTGGGCATGCCCACGTCGCACTGATGTGGGAGGCAGGGGGGGTGTTGTTGGTGCTACCCAAGTCCAGTTTGCCCACGTGATGCCCCCGTTGGCCCCACTTCATGTGCTACCTGAGAGACGCTGGTGTCACACACCAGGGGGTGTTGAACACCAGCTCTTTGTCTCTACAGACGTTTGGCAGAGTGTCTGGCTCCCCAACAGCGTCACAACCAAATGGGCGTACGGGCCTGTCTCGTGCACAGATTGCGACACACTTGGCGCCAACGCACCTTCTTTAAGTTTTAATGGTTTTCTCAGGCATCTAAAAGCCTGCCACGAACGGAACCTACCAGTGAGGTTGCGCCTGCTTAGCGGTACTAATCTGGACCGCAAATGTGAATGTCGAACCCCTGTATTCGAGTATATTCTGACAATGCCTCCATATCCCGTTCAGATCAACTGCGTGGCGTGCTGCAAATCAAACGGCTGTGATACCGTCGTCCACCACCGACAGGCTGCTTCAGTTTGACGCTTTACACTTGGAGAGTTTCATGCCTTAGTGTGAGGAGTACTTTGTCACTCTGATCGCCTGGATTTACATCGTGGGCGAAACGAAATGCCACACGGCCCTTGCGCCGGCTGGTTTGACACTTGATGCTCTTTCAGTCCGCACTTAGTTAATCGCACTTGCATTCTAGGCTTCCCCTTCACTCTTCGAGGTTTGAGGCAACACACAAAACCCCCAAAGATCCGCAGTTGACTACGTGAACCTTTCGGTTTCCCACCACAATTGAAATTTTCATTTCCCCACAACTTGTTTCAATCTCCTTTTTCCTGACCGCGTGAGTTTTTTCCCGTCATTGGAGGATAACATTTACGTGCGGGCATTTCCCCTTCCACCTCTAATCATCATAACAATAGTAACTTTTGGGCTAACACCATGGTCTCAATTGGGAAACGGAGGAAATGACGACGAAAGAACCCGCACGTACCCTGTTCGGTGGTTACCTCCTCGTCCAGCTCAACCAGGTCATAGGTGACACTGACGTCGCTGATCTTCTTCAGCGTGTCCGGGATCACCACCTTGGCGATGGCGTTTCCTTTCTCCACGACCACCACTGCCATAAGGAAGGAATGCGCGAGCGCGACGGCTTAGACTGTGCGCACCGTACACTCGATGAGCGCTCAGCAGCCACAGGTACAATTTTGACGGATAAAAGCATCGGAGCGACCGTTGCGAGTTTCATGGCGCCCGTAGATTAGCCCAGAGAAGACACATAAGGCACAAATACGCAGCCTGTAAAACCCCGGGCGTCTGTTTTTCGACTGATTAAATCAAAGTGACCAGTAAATGGCGTATAAAAAGTGTCCTACGTCGATTGTGAGGGATCAACTTGACACCACAAATTCGATCTCTGCTAGGAGCCTAGTGCGCTAGTCGGCGCCAACTCTTTTAGGCTACGTTTTTGTTTTTTCTCTCTTAGCTTAGGCACGTGCATTCCCGCATTGTTGCAAGAGCATAAGTGGATTCACTTTGCGTCTCATTCACACGTGCTCTTGTGCGAGGGAGACGAAGCGACGCCCTCGTGCAAGCGGCTTTGACGGCACCGGAGCACTGCGGAAGTTACGCTGGCCTTGACAATGGAGCACAAAATAGTTGACGTCGAGTATATGCTCAAACACAAATCGTACTTTAACGTAGAGTAGTTTAGAGCTTCTGCAGTTTCTTGTTAAATACCCCGAAAATTAGCCCCCGAGCCGCTTTTACTAAAATTGGGGAAACGCGAAAGTCCCAAAATGAACCTGCCGTTGTATATAAAAAGCGAGCTTCATGGAAAGAAAATCATTGACTTCCGCTTTTTTCTTGATCCGGAAAAGACATTCAATAAACTGTATGTGAAACTATTTCTTTGCAACCACACACCTTGTATTTCTTAGCAATAGCATTCGGGTCGCGCGTATGGTCCCTGAAGGTTGGGGAAATACCCGTGCTCTATAGGTTGGCTCAAGCGGATCCGACGCTGTAAAACGAGCCGGAAAAATCAGTGCCTGCCCATAGAAAGCTCGAAATTTCACCGAATATGCACTGATTAGGTCAGTTAACGCGGAATCGCCGATCTTTCCCATGTTTTTCTTAAGCCACGCTCACACTGCTCATGCAAAAGAAAGTCTGCGAACACTGTCTGTCTTCACACCTCAGACGTGCATGGCGTACATGGCGCAGGTGGGGTAGATTCGTACAGTGACTCACCAGGATAGGGATTTAGAATAGCGTAAGCGGCCGGGCAGGATGTAGTGTAAGGAGAGCTTTGTTTATATTTTGTCGGACTTTTCCTTGGTGACAGAAACGAGTCTTTTAGCAGCTAGGTCGGTTAGGCGATGGCTCGTAAGAGCAGAAAGGCTAAGGGGGGACACGGTAGTTGGTTGTGATTGTTAGCGGTGGGCTTTTTTTGGAGGAGACAGACTTCGAGAGCATAGCTGATGCAAAGGAGAGTGGCCTTATCCGCCGTTTTCTTGAGAGGCTCGAGGTAGGCTTTAGGAAGATAGAAGGGTAGGTCTACTAGGTTTGATGATCTGAAGGGGAGCTTATGGAAGAGCGGGTCGTACTGGAGGCACATGTGGAGGAGATGAACAGTGAGCTCTACCAGGAACGGGTGAAGGGGGTCGAACTCGAGAGGCAGGTGGAGGAACTCAGGAAAGGGGAGGCATGGAGAGCTGGGTTGGAGGAGTGTATGATCATGGCTTGCGAAATGTCATGTCCGAACTCTTCACTATCCCAATGTAGTGCGGCAGCCGGAATGGGATTTGTACCTTATTAGAGAGTTTTAGCACTGCGTATAGACGCAAGCGTAAGCGCTGTGCGTTAGAGTTGCGAGTTTCAAGCTGCGCAGCGCGTCGTCGCCACGTTCCAACCCAATACCGCAGATTGAGCTCCGCTCACGGGCAGTGTGGAACACACAGTGGTTGCGTTCACTCGTATACGCAATAGTAAAACTCACTGCTGTTTCGCCAGTTTTCAACGCCAACGAAACGTGCTGCAGGGAGCAGACGTGCAAGCGGGTAGGCGCTCTACCGAACTGGAAAGGCTGGGATTGGCAAAACGACGGCGCGTAAAAATGAAAGAAACTAAATGTTCTGAAAACATTTGTAATAAAACAACAAAAACAAATTTCGTGTTTTTTTTTTTGTTTTTCTTGTTGTTTTTTTTTTTGGGGGGGGGGGGGGAGGGGGGCAATTAAGAGTGATTGGCGGCGACTTGAAATCCAATTGTCAAAAACTTGCCGCTTTGATAGAGCCATATGCTTTACCCACAAATAATATTTTACTCGGATTTCTCAGGTTAGCTTGAATGTTTTATTTGATTTTAGACTGCTTTTATTTTATAACTTGCTAATAAAACACGTATCCGCGAAAAAGGTGTCAATTAAACGTGTTTTCACAAAACGTAGGGAGAATAAAAAAGTCAGTATTCTACCTGCAGTTGCCAGATGGTTTCAGAAAGCTAATGGCATGCGACTGACAGTAGAATTTCAGGGATATCATTGTACCGGCTGCCAGGAGATAGGCACTGCCTAATTCCAGAGGTAATGCGGAAGATGACCCGCAGAAGAACGGTCAATTGTCGCCAAGAAGTAGGTTGAAGCGGGCTCACGATGGAAATACCTGACTTGAAAGATGCAATCCGAGATATATGTCGGCACGGGCACTGCAGAGCAACCACTCAAATACAAAAACGAGAAGGGAAGAATCCGTGAAGATTCAACACAACGCGGCACAAGCTGTCGTTTGCGAAACCGAACACTCAACGAACCACAAGAATTTCTCGGGCTTCTTTGAAAAAAATCTCTTGTTGACATACGTGTAGGACTTTTCGAAGTAGCCTCGGTACACTTCGAATATGTCGTCCTGGACGAGATACCATTTACAGCCGAAGCGAAATCCCGCATGCCGCACCACACACGAAACTCGGTCAGCAAGCAGGCATTTCGGGATTGGCAACGGTCAATGCGTCAGCCGTCAAACAACGCGATCACGCTTCTGCCGTTACCCGCGCCCAGAGAACGGAGTCAAGTGATAAAAACTCTACAGTTGATTGGTACGGCGCATGCGCACCTTCTGCAACGTTTTTAGCTTAGGGAGAGAGAGAAAAACGGCCGCATCTCTACGTGGTGAATGATATTGATTGGGGCGAAGCTCTGGTGGTGCTGGTGATACTGATTTTATTGTTCATAGGTAGTGCTGAGGGTGCTGTTTTTTTTTATATTGCTCATAGGTAGTGCTGAGTTCCGGGTTGCGTTTCGACTTCATTATTACTGTTTTATGGTCGGTGAAATGCAGAGCCAGTGGTTCTTCTAGCGGATCAGCTTGGATCCGCTAGAAGCCGTGAGAACGCATCTCCACCGCTTAAGTCACCGGTCCATGTCAGAAAGAGAATATGTGTAGTATGGAACGTGGTCATATACGCATTTGAGCACTTGACCGCAGCGCCCTCTCGTCTATAAACGTTGAGCCAATGCATGCAAAGTTTAACGCGATTATAGACGCATTTGACCGCAGCGCCCTCTTCTGTATAGATGTTCAGCGGCTACATGCAACGTTTCATC